GGGGGGAACGAGGATGGCAGGGGAAGTAGTTAAGGGGTTTTCTGATTTTTCTCACCTTTTTGCAGCTTTCTGTAGTAGTAGTAGCTTTGACGCACGACACGAGAGGGGTTGGGGAGGAGGAGTGGGAGGGGACTAGGGAAAGGGAAATCCCTATGAAGCAGGTTTTTCATTTTATTGACTGTTTTGTGGCTTCCTAGGTGCGAAGTAAATGAGCCGGCCATTTTAGAAATGAGAATGAGACCACCCCGGTTCGTAGGTATAAACCGAGTTAACCCTCCTTTCCTTAGCCCATTTAGGTGACGTAGAAGGGGTTGGTTTTTTAAAATAGTCTGGGGATCAATAGTATCATGCTTTCAAATTTCAGACTAGAGAATAACGATCCAGGAATGTCAGTAGATTGAGGGGGAGGTTTAGTCCTATGTTTATGTGTAATTTTTTACGTATGAGTTGGCGGTACCTTGACTCACCAGTCACCTTGCCCACCCTAAGTTTTCCGTGGGTTTCAGAAGGGCGTGTCCTTTCTGCAGAAGTTAACCCTTCCGCAAAGAATCCCCGCGCAGTTTCCTGCCGATGGAGTCGAATCCCGAGATCCCCGGATTGAGTGTGCCTCGGATTACTGGAGATTCACTTCTGGATCACGCACTCGTCCTTCGCAAGTGGACGGCTCATCGGCGACTGATGCTTGCTACCGTTGGATTCGTGGAGCCAGTCGCTTCAGGAAGCAGCATTCTGCGTTGCTTTGTTGTGTAGACCACTTTTGCCGGCGACATCGAGCTCGATTTTTCGTGCTCGCTAGACCATGTAGCCATTTTTCGTCGAATTTTCACGGCATCGGCAGACCTTCAAGGACACGATACGGCTCTTCCCTGTCGCAAAATGGTATGACGGATGCGATCGTTCACACTACAACTTCTGCACAGCAATCGCACAACAGACAGCGAGGTGTCTGAGAAACATGCTTCAGTTTGAGCAAACGTGAATGGTGAAATATAAGAGGAGGTAGTCTTTTTTGTGCTTATAGTGTTAGCAACAAGGTTGACTAGGTAAAAATGCGTCCTGAGGGGAGGGGGAATGGGGGAGCATCCGCTGTTATGCCCTTGTTTTATATCTCTTACTGTGTAAAGGTCCTGCTAGCCAATCACTTTCCCATTCCATTTTTGCATGGGGACAGAATTTCAGTCGCAGTGGTGCTCTTTCTCTCATCAGGGTTAGGCCAAAAACTTGACCTCCCTGGCACAAAATTAATTCCGAACATCACTACTAGCCCCTTGAGCCTTTCTTTCTGAACTGATCTTGTGCCTTTTGAAAGTGGTCCATGGGATACTCTGGAGATTAATATCTGCTCATGTGGGTATGGGAGCAACTCGTTACCTTTGTTCAGTGGGTGGCTGTGACAGTTCGAGGGGTCCGATGTCCAGACTAGGTCGATTGCTTGAAGAACTTTTTGCCACATTTGGTGCCGCTCCTTTATCTCAATAACATTCTTTTTCTTGGGAATGTTGCTTGAAAATTTCCAGCATCTTTGTAGGAATCGGGAACTTCGTTGGCTTTTGTGAACTTATGGGATGTTATGCTTTTATTCATTGTTTGGAGACCCATTTTTATATTACTCTTCTAGAGAATCGCAGTAGCTTCATTGTTTGATAAGCCTTAGAAAGCGTTTAGTAAACGTGCACGACCCTTCATGCCGTTTCTTTGGTGTCGTTTCTGGGGTTTATGCTTGCCGACCGACTTCAGTCAGGACTTCCAGTACTTCGTGTTTTGGATTCTTCGCCATAGGCAGTGGAAATTCGCTATGGATCGGCCACTCATCTATTAGCAGTCGTTTTCAGAGCAGTGAGTTCTTTTCAAGGATTCAGAAAAGCTAACGGTAATTTGCAGTGTGCTTGAGTTGCTTCAGAATCATAGCTCATTTTTTCAAAGGAATCATTACTGTTGGTTTGGTTTTCAGCTTGAGCATAACCCTACTCAAAATGCTTTTGTTTGAGTTTTTTGATAATTATTAACGTTTGGCTAACTGACAAAAGATGGCTCAAAATAAGCTGGAGTATTCCCGAAATCAAGGTTATAAGGCTTTAGGCCAATTAAAGTTTTAGTAGAAGTACCTGGTAGGATTTAGCCCGTGTGTTCATTGAGTGGGAAATGTTATTGATTCAACGACGCATTCCTTGCTGCGCTCTCCTGTTGCTTGTCGTCTGCAAAAG